TCTTGTCCTATGAGCAGCCAATGAGAGGTGAAAAGTGCAAAACACTTCGCCCCACCCCAGGTGGACACTCCCAGCCTGACTCCTGTGTGGTGCCTACTCTGATTCACCCTCTCACGGAGCCAGCTGTTCACTAATTGCTTTTTACATTTATGTGTGTGACGAAATCGTGCTCTGGCTTGATTTCGCAAAGGGTACTTGCCAACATAAATACTCCAAGTTCAAGATAAAACAGAATAATTAAAAACAGGCCAAGTTATCCAATTAGCTGGTCATCTCCTGTTGGTATTACTAAGATATAGAATATTTTCAGTTATTTTACCAATTTTTCTCATTAAAGTGAGCACAAAAGGTTTCAACTTACAAATCTAATATCCAATTTTTATGGGATTAACAATAACCATGATGGAAGGCAGGTATAGGGGAAGCAGTGCAAGCTTTAAAGAAAAGAAAGCTCTTGCTCAAATTCCCAAATCTGCCACTTACTAATGTTAATCAGGAAAGTGACAAAACAATCCATTCTTGCAGGTTGCTATGAATAGAGTATTTCAATTATAAAATAATTATATTAAACAACGTAGTATGTAAGAGGCACCCCAAAACTTGCATTACATAATAATATGCTAACAGCGTCTTTAGCATTTAGTGAGCAAGAATCAAAATTCTTGAAGGTGTGTTCCTACTATTATTCCTGAAGTTAAAAGGTTAAAATGGGAGGGGAGAAATCTCATAATTTGTTTTTAGAGAGAGAATAGTCCAGCGACAGTTGGAGAGGTATTTTCTGCCCCATGTGGAGCCATCCGTAAGGAGTGCCCTACTTGGAGAGCTGCTTCAATGCCGTAACTATTCAGTGAACACGCACTACGCGTTTATTCAGGAAGTATTTCTGAAGACTTGCTATGTGCCAGGCCTGTGCTAGGTCCTGAGGAGACAGCTATAAATAACGTGGACACAGGCCAGTTTGTTAAACAGCTTGCACTTCGTAGGTCACATAAGCCAGCAAATGTGATAACAGAGAAGTATTGGGTGAGTACACAGGCAAACGGCACCACCAAATCTGGATGGGAGGTTTCAGGGAGGAATCTCTGGAAAAAGCAACCGTCCAGGGGAATGCTGAAGGGTAAGTAGAAGTGAGCTGACGGAGAGCAAGCACTCCAGACAGGCCACAGCACGTCATACAGGTCGGACAGATGTCCTGAGCGGAGACGACGCTGCAAGTCAGGAAATTACCAGTAGTTTAGTCCTGCTGGAAGGTCAGCTTCAATCTGGACGAGAGAATAAGGGGGTGAAGCAGAGATAAAAGAGCAGTGTGAAAATGCAGGTGGCGATGGAAGCAGGAGCCAGGTGGTAAAATGATCTGTATGCTGTCAGTCTGAAGAGCACAGGCTTAATCCTGGGAACAAATGGATGTGACCGGAAGGTGGGAATGGCATGGTCAGGTTTGTCTTCTGAAGATCACTCTGGCTGCAGTGTGGGAAAGGAACTCGTGGGAAATCTTTTAAATCATATAAAGAATCTCTATCTTAGAAGAAAAAGTCCCCCCCAAATCAAACCAACTGCTAAAAAAAAAAAAAAAAGCTGCTTTAGGAATAAAACATTTCCTTGCATCTTATAGGAGAACTTTTCCTTAAGTCCCTGGTTACCATGATCTGCAAAGGTAGCATAATAAGGGATACGACTAGTGGTCTCAGGGAAGCCTTGCACGTTCTTAACCCTTACCCCCCCCCCACCTCCTCACCCTCCACCCTCACCTTCACCCCCAAGCAGCTTGTGCCAGCTCAGTCTTTGTCTCTCACTCAGGGACCGGATTTCCTCAACAAAATAAGGATATGTCCATCGGCAAGGGGAAATTGTTATGAGCGGGCCAAAAAATTTAAAAAATTAAATGCTAACAGATGAGAACCACTTCTGAACCCAAGGTCAAGCAAAATTAATGCCAATGGTCATTAAATAACCAGAACGTATACAGGTAATTTCTAAATTAGGAAGTCTGAGGCTCTACAATAGCAGGGTATAAACATGAGCATAAGAACACAATAATTAGAATTAAACATCTCCCTGAATTTGCCTTTTAAAAATAAATTATGCCATTAAGCATTAAAGGCAAGGATTAAAATGCCACAGACTTCTAGTTAAATCAAAATGTGGTGACAACTACTGGCATATGACCAAATACTAAAAGAATCTCAGCTGTTTTAGAAATAAAACATTTGCTCCAACTTGCAACAAAACTTTTTAAGGTCTATGATTAAAATGAACTGCAAATACAGCCTAGGAAAAACAGATAAAAGAGATATTTTTAAAACATAAGATGCTAAACTTAACCTTTAAAAATCAAGATTTTGGAGGGTGTTCGGCTATAACTCAAAAAATTTAGGACAAAATAAATGACAGTACATAATTAAAATATGCACATTTTCTAGACTATTTAGATATGCAGTAGTTTCATCATGCATCATGTATCATCATCATAGACAATTCATATAAGATCAAGTGCGAATTAAAAAAACAACATCACAATTATTAAATACTTACGAGGATATAGTCAAATCCTTTCTCTGAAGGAGATGGATTCATTATACTTTTTCTCTTATAGTTAGAGAAAGTCTCAACTTTCTATACTTTCTAAAAATTATTATTTTAATATTTTAAAACATGTTTGGGTATTTGAGATTTACCAACTTGCTTAATTATTTCCAAAAGTACTATTTCAAAACTCATACTTTTGTTTGGTTTTTGAGACAGAGTTTCACTATGTCGCCTTCTGTAGAGTCCTGTGGTGTCACAACTCACAGCAACCTCACACTATTGGGACAATTCTCTTACCTCAGCCTCCCAAGCAGCTGGGACTACAGGTGCCCTCCATACGGCTGGCTAGTTTTTTATTGTTGCAGCTGTTATTGTTGTTCAGCAGGCCCAGGCCGGGCTCAAACCCATTAGCCCCGGTGTATGTGGCCAGCGCCCTAACCACTGAGCGACAGGCACCGAGCCCATACTTTTCTATAGTTATTATTTATTTATCTCCTGACCACTGTAAAAGTCTAGCACAGTAAAGAATGATGCAATGGGGAACTAGAACAAGCTGGAAGTCAAGGTAGTCACACATCCATTCATTCCTCTGTTAATCAAACATCTGAGTACGACTTTAGTTCCAATGAATACCAAACAAAATTTAAGCCCCTGTAGAAACAGAATACAATATTTCATCAAATTTGAAATGCCATCTACTGTAACACACACTTAAAAAAATAATGCTTTTAATTATGACCTACTGTCTCTCATTTGACTTTTTTCAATTTATCACAAAAATTTGGCAAAATTCTTCCAGCTACTGCTTGACATTTCAAAGGATGAACTTTCTTCACATATCTCAATACAGAACAAAGCTTCATCTAGTTTTGGGTATCTTCCTTTCTTGGCTCCCATAAAGCATTTGATGATTGCTTTCAAAGACAAGTAAATAGAACTGTGGTGATTTCTCCAATGGCAAGTATTTATTTCACAAATCAAATTTACATCTACTTCTGCCTTGCCCCTTTCTCTGTATTTAATACCTTTTTGTTTCAATGCCAAATCATAATGAAATCTTTCTGAAGCTATTTTAAATGGCAATTAAACACGACATACATAGTGCTGATACTATGTCTGCAAGTCAATTGCAATGGCACTGAATGAAGCAATAACTAAGCTTGTACACAGGTATTGAAAACCCGATGAGACAGCCACCTGACAGCAGTTGGAAGATGCCATTAATTGTTAAGTGCATTCCAATTTTAGAGATATTGAAATATGAAAAAAGACATCTCTTAGAAACACAGCAGAAATGGCAGCAAACACATACCATTGTAAGATAAGCACCATTAAGTACTTCTCTATGTGACAGTGAGTCCAGAGGCTACGCTTTCAAACTGCCATACCATTCTACCCCTAAAGTCAATAATCAGTAACTAGCCTTGTGAACTGAGGCAAATCCGAAGGGAATCCTCTCCGCATCGGAAAAAGGAGGCTAGACTGGATGATTGTGGGGTTCTTTTCCAGCATTAAAACATTATAATTCCATAATTTTCTATACTAAAACTTTGTTCCTACGCCAGTTTCTCCTAAAACTAATACCAAAGACCTTCACTGTCATTAATTGATAAGCAAAATAAATGGTACTTTCATTATTAGTCTAAAATAGACAAACTTAGGAAGGCATTTACGACAAATACATACTTGAACCACTATTTATATTTGTTAAAGGTGATGGCAAAAAGTTGACATTAGGTATAAATGACCGAATTTCTTGGTTTTACTCTGCTCGTATATTCCATTTACTCATTTAACACTTTAATTCAAAATTGAACATATGATTTCAATGTGTCAGTCTTTACGACTCATAATATAGAGCCCCTTATTCTTCTTAAAATTCTGTTCATATATGAGGGGGAAAAACAATAGATTAATAACAGACGCAAATATTGCACTATTTTCCCTCTTGACCCAATTTAAGGATGGAATTAAATGTGCATTACACACTTGACAACTCTTCTGCCCCAAAGTGGGTCGTCACACCCTTTGGATTTCCTTTTACAGAGCAAGCCAACTGCTTTCTTTCCTAGGAAACCTCCCTTCAAGCTTACAGCCTCTGATCATCAGACAACCCAGTGATGATTAAAGTAATTCCTAATATTGAACCTTGAAGTTATTCTACAGGAGAAAAGTCAGTAAAGGAAAGAGACCAAAACACACAGTGTCTTCAAAGCTTTTGTTATTCTTCCTTAAATGTCAAATACCATGTCACTTTCTGTCAACCTTTCTCTTTATGCACATATATGCATGCATACATAGAAAGTAAGCTGCCCAAACAGAAACAAGAGAAAACAGTAAAAAGTTTTTCTGGAAAAACTGTAAAGGGGAATATAAGTGAATACTGACAAAAAGTGGACTTAAAAAAAACAAGACAAGAATATGGCTCAAGAGGGAAGGTTCTCACCTGTACATAGGATTTGACCATCACATACCTTCCCATGCTGCCCAGCTCTTTCATAACAAATGACAACATCCTCCCACATTTCTAGCTTCTCAAATATCTGAAGGGCTGAACTGGTACATCCCAACTCAAAGAGCAAACTGGCAAGTTGACGCTAGAAAAATCAAATTACAACAATCAACACTTATTGGTGAAAGAATGTTCACGTCCAAGTATATCTAATCTGCCTTTTTAAAAGTCTGTTTATTGTCACAAGTGTGTAATTTCTAATATTTCACCTCTACTGATCAGGAATTTGTGATAATACAATACTTTAGCAAGCTTCTTTATAGAAAGCAATTTAAAACAATATAGAAACTATTCAAAATAATCAACACATTAAAGATTTTCCAAAAACTTAAAAAGCAGAAATGAGTATTTCTTTCTTACCAAGAGATTCTAAAGATAACAATCTCTAATTCCTAAAGCTTAGATCTAATAAATCAATTTTTACAACTCTGAATAGTCAATATGAGATAAAAATCTATGTATCGGCCTCTGTGAAATTTATCCATTCATCTCTGAATCTTTCTCACTCATATATACTTTGATTTATTTTAAGCACATTCTAGTAAACTTAGCTACCTAATTTCCTAGCTCCTAGCAGATAAAAAATAAAAAAAGGAGAAAATCGGGTTGAGGTCAGTAAGTTTAAATACATTTTTAAAAAATTATACACACACACACA